GGGGGAGAGGCTGAGTTTTCCCCCAGAGCAGGGAACCATATGCTTTAGTTGGATAAGTCCACACATACACGCTGCCACCCATAACAGGCACAGATCTAGAGCATGGGGGCTGCTGGCTTTCTGAGAGCCATAGAGAACCATGGAGAGCCTGGCATCACCATCTCTGAGCCCTCTGGTGTTGTGTGGAGAGTATAACTAGGAGGGTGAGTATGTGTTTGCCAGTTCTAGGCCCTCAGAGAAATAGGGTTAGTTAGGCACTCAGTCAGCAATGCCCCCTAGTGGTGAAATGTATGCCCACTAGTACCTTGGGCATTATGCTGAGCCAAATTTAGCTCTTCCTAAATGCCTCTCCAAATCACCAGGGAAGCTGTGAGTGAGGGGTGATAAGGTCACTCTCGGGAAGCCGCTTAGCCTCTCTTACCTTAATTTTCTCTTCTATAAATGAGGATTAGAAAACTTTCCCTGACGTCCAGAAATATTGGGTTCAAGTGAGGATGTGCCTTGAAGAAGGGACAAGTAATCTTCAAGAGCAAAGTGTGCCCCCCCCCAGACCCTATAGCACAAAATTCTACATACAGTAAATGTTTGTTGAATTCTTATTCTCTTTTCTTCTATCACTGATCCTGGAAAGAAAGCAGGGCCCAGGAAAAAAAAATCTTCAATTACTTGCCATCTCATTCATTCATTCATTCATTCATTCATTCATAGACGTTTAGGAAGCAGCTACTGTGTGCCTGGACTCGTGGCAGGCACCGGGAGGCACACAGTGCTGTCACGAAGGAGCTGACAGTCTAGCTGGAAATGTGCAAAGCTCTCCAATAACTGGCCTGGATGCAGATCATCGACATAGAAGCCCTTACCTAATTGCAGTGAAATTCAATTCAACAAGTATTTTATTCAATTACTCCTCTGTCCTAGGCACCAGGTGCTCAGGACACAAAGACAGACATGAAGAATAATCCCAGCCCTCAAGCTGCCCTGGTGAGATAGAGACCACGTGAACGACTCATTGTCTCCATTTTACCGGAGAGGACAGAGAGGCTTTGAGTCACAAATCGATTTGCCCAAGCCACGGGGACAGGATTGGAATTCAGGGCTCTTCTGGCTTCCCTCACAGCTGCCCTTTCTTTCCAAACCCCCCCCCCCTTCTAGTTTATCCATGGTGGGTATGGGCGAGGCCTCTAAAATGCAGCAAAACCCAGTTAGTCCCAGACATGGGCCTGCTGCAGCAATGGGGAGGAGCGGAGCAATTGTGGGTGGCCACCCAGGTCGGGGTCCAAGGCAAGGAGTTTTAAAAGGCTCCCCCAAAAGTGCTTCCACAGAGCTAGTGCTCCCCGTCCTCCGTGGAGTCACCTCTCTGGCTTCCTGTTTTCTAAGCAGTCATGGACACCGAACAGACGCTTCCCACTCACTGCAGTGAGAGCTCTGTCCCTTGCAATGAAGCCCTTTTTAGCATTCGGCACTATTTTCGTGGCATGGCTGACATCTCCAAGTCCAAAGTCTCTTTTCTAATTTTCACTCCCAGCCTCAAGTGGCTGGAGAAACCTGCCGTCGCCCTGAGGCCTCCTCCAGGCTCTCAGCACTGCGGTGTGGACAGAGAGCCTTGTGTCTCCTGCTGCTGCTGGAGGAAAAAAAAAAAACAAAACAGAAAACAAAAAATTAATACCCAGCAAGGTCGCTAGATGGCCCTCTTGTGATTCGAAAGAAGCACCGAGCCCCCCCGCCTCCTCCCGAACCCAAGCAAGCGGAACCTAGAGTAGAGAAGGGGCCAACTTTCTTTGCGCCAGCGTTCCTTAAACGCCCAGTGGCGGTGTTGGGTCCGAGAAGAAACGCAACAAATATCAGGAAGGGGCTTTGTGTTACTAAGACAGTCAACGGGCTCGCTCCAGTCTGGGGCATGAGATGGCCAACATCCAGACAGAGTTCCTTGGTTCCCCGGGAAGGACTTGGTACGGGAGGGGGGGCGGCCGCTTTGGCAGCTGTTACTTCAGACCGGCTAGTGACTGGGGGGAGAGAAGCCAGATGAAATCACTGAGTCTCCCGCCCCATCTACGCTGCCTTCTCTTCGGGGACTGAGGGTCCCTAGGCCCAGGTTTGCCAAAGGGCTCTCCCCGCTGGTGATCGCAGTCTCGGGAAGGGGCGCACTGGGCCACAGCCCTTTTCCATCCCTGTAGGGACGGGGAGGAAGGGCACAGGTCTTTATCCAATGCCCCGCGGGTCTCTGCAGCCAGCGTGCTATAGCGAGGACATTGCACTTGAACGGAATTCTCCACGTGGTCTAGCCCTTCTCTGAGCTCTCCCTGAGGGCAGAGGGGCGGCTTCCTCCTCCTCTGGGCGCGTGCATCTCTTTAAAGGCCAGCTGCAATGTTAATCATTTTTTACCTGAGTAATTCTCCCATTGCTTCTTGACCTGGGGGATTGTTAATGGGCAAGACTCCTATTCAGACTATTTTCTCCAGCTCAATCAAATCCTGGAGGCGCCAGTTTACTTGTATCGATCAGCGGGTTCCTGACAGGCTTTGCCACAAGGAAGCAGCATCATCCTTTTTTTAACTCAAAGGGGAACAGCTCGCCTTAAAGTTTACGGCTAGAAGCCTCTATGCAGAGCATGCAAACATTTTAGCAGGCTGCGAACGGTCCTGTTCCGAGAGAGCGAGCCCCAGACCTGTTTTAGGGAGATGCCAAACACAGAAGTGACAGGATCCGGGGATCACACCCTTAGACTCCCAGAAAAGGTTTTGGTGGTGGTGGGCGGGGCGGAGGTGAGGCCTTTTTAATTACTGCTAAATGCCCTTTCTTTCTACCCACCCCCAGCAACGGTAAGTGACTCCGCTCCAGAGGGACAAAAAGAGCTCTCTGGGCTCTGCAGAGCCCAGAATCGCTGCTATCCTTTCACCCCCATCCCCCAGCCTCGGCCCTGCTGCATACTGAGCTATTCGTCTCCTTCCCCACCCTTGCTGGTCCCCACCCCTCCCGGCCTCCAGTCCTATGGCTTTCCCCGGGCCCCTGCTCCCCCCGCTATGGCTCTGCTGGTCTTTGGGCCCTGCCGCTCCCAGGCTTCCCTGGGCCACTTCCAGGATGCTGTCAGCCCGAAATCTGTGCCCCTACCCACCCACCCAAAGGGGAGCTCCCCGCCGGCGCCTTCACTTGGTGGCTCCTTCGCTAGCTGCTTCCTGCCCTAGGTTGTGCCCACCAGAGCCCCTCGCTTCTCCTCGACCCCGCACCCCTCCACGACAGACTGTTCGACGCCGACCGTGTGCTCTGCGGTGGGGGGGGGGGTCTCCGCCCTGAGATGAAGAGATCTCCTTAGAAGTGAGTTTCGTTTGTCCTTTCCTCCCCCTCCCCGCCCCACTGTAAGAGGCTGATGAGCCAGGGCCACTGGCGGGGGGGGGGAGAAGGAGAGGAGGCTGCAGAGGGAAGCAGGCTGGTGGGAGATGGCAGGTTTTTAAGAAAACCCATGATGTGTCCAATTTGCCTTCGGATTGTCCCTTTAAGGGTGAAAGTGAGCCTTCTTACGGAGCCGAAACCTTGGACTGATTTCTGCCTGGGCTAATTAGGAGTTTGCTCACCTAGCTGTCTAAACGTCCCACCCAGCCTCCTCCTTGCTCTGGGGGGCCGGCGTTCAAGGCTCAGAGCCGCTTCTGGGTACGATGAAGAAGTCCCCCTGCCCCCGCCCCGTCCAGACCCCGCTTTTGCTGTTGGACAAACGCCTTCCCCCCCCCCCCCCCGTGTTTTTTTATTCCTGCAGCTAGTGACCTTAATTAAGGTCCCTAAGCATCGATGAAGATGTCTCCCACCCCGAGCCGGGCCGCCGCCGCCGCCACCTTCATTTATTGGGGCACATTCACTGGGGCGCACTGATGTCATTAGGTCTCCATTCCAGCTCTGTCCTTCCGCGCCCGGCGGGGAGTGGGCCCATGAGCCTGCTACCCACGCCGACCGAGCCCGGACTTCCCTGGCAAGGACCAAGCGACGGGCGCACAGGCACAGCAATGCTTCTGCTGGGGGATCGAGGGTCTATA